CAAAGTTATTTGTTTGGATACGGAAGTAGGGTCAGTTCAGGGTAGCATGATTAAGATATTCAGGTGAGCTTATATACTCTTAACATACTAGCAAATTTTAAGTGAAACATCTATGATTTGTCAACGTTAAATTTTAGCTCTATTTTGCTCTTAATTTCACAGACATACAGTTGTTGTGTCTTTACCTCACTTTTTGTAAGTCTTTACCAAATATATAATTATACAAAAGAAATATAGATATAGTATCAGATAGCTCTAGGCGTTGAATTTCAAAGCATTCTTTCCTCGGATTGTAAAATTTGATTTTGTTTTAAGGAGTCACCCTACTCCAAAACTTCTCAGACCGACTACGTAAGGAAACTGAACTACCTCGCATTTGGTCTGAATAAGCAACTGGAAAAGATTCGTAAGTTGGTCTCACTAGAAATCGAAGAAGAATTTCCTCGTCATTATTCGAGCACAGAAATCCATGCTTTATGTTGGAGTAACTTTAATTACATTTGAAGAGGCGAGTCGAAAGAATTCGTAACTTGGTTCCAACGGAAGCTTCAGGGGGAATTGTCTTGGAGCTAATATTGTAGATTTGTGTGAATAGGTCCTAGGCGTACTGCCCTGCGATACATGTGAATCCTTGTTGAGCTTGCGTCCGTCATGTAACAGACATAGTCTGGGCAGGACATAATGAATTACGATAATTCATAAAAAGCAGTAGGCAAGAAAAGTGGTCGGCTTTAAACCAAGCTACTTCTAATAGTCCTATTTTTTATTAACTTAGACATCTCATTGTTTATCAAAGATATGAAAAACAAAATGGTGTGGCCTCCGGTATGGTCGCAGTCGCTTCTCGATTTATAGAAGTGGGTTAACCTCGTTCCCGCAACTTGGCATTGTTGTCAGGGAGAATTAGTAGAACGCACCTAATCCAAAGTCCTCTGCCATAGTAGTTATCATAATTCCCAGCATCAAACAGAGGACTTAGTACATCCTCAAACGTTTCGCCGGCATCATCATTGAGTGCTGCCATTCTCCGGACCAGAATACGAACTCGTCAAAGAGACAAGTAATGTCAATCCTTCCACAAACGTTCGGCCGAAAATGGTTACAATATCACTTCTCTTTCTGTCCTAGCATATATATCTACTCTTTACCCTTTTATCAATCTCCCACCCTATCATACATTCTCACTTGTTTACATTCCACTCGTCAAAATGTGTGCCATTTTGTAGCATATTTAGTGTGGCCTCATCACATCTACTATTCACCCCAATCCCCTCTCTTTCGATCAGTTAATCCAACTCATGCATCCAATCCTTATCCTCTTTATGATCATGTATATCCGTTCCTTATCTTTCTAATTGGCTGATTTCACTTGGTTCCAGTCTCAAGCGCAATTTCTAAAGGCCCTATAAACACTTACACTGCAACCTCACCGAGCAGAGCGCCAAGGATCTGATTCCCGTGCTTGCAAATATCAGGCATCGCCTTCATGGGTCGTCACCTTGATTAAGTACGTGTAACCTGATGGTGTGGCTGCAGGTATGGTCGAAGTCTCCTTTTGATTTATAGAAGTGGATTAACCTCGTTGTTGCAACTTGGTCTTATTGTCCGGAAGACTTAGTAGAACTCATCTACTCTGAAGTCCTCTTCCTTAGTAGTTATCATAATTCCAAGCATCAGACAGCGGACTTGGTACGTTTTCTAGCGTTTCACCGGCATCGTAGTCGGCATCAGCATCAGAGTTTGGCAAATCGACTAGGATATTCCTAGGCAATGGCTATCAAAGTAAAGTAATACAAGGAAACATACAGGCCGTGAAAAGCCGATGGCAGAACGGGGACTATAAAACAACATTTAGGAAGATAAAGGATTAACAAAAGTGGATATGCCTACCTTCCTGCGAATTAACTAAAAAACTATGGCCAATATTGAGGAAATGGAATATTTGGGTGGCATGAAAGAAAAATCAACATTTTTCACAAGTCTAACGGCGCAACATGAAAGGGTAGATAAATGGGATTGTCTTGGAGTTTAGTTTATATCATGCGGCACGTGCAAACATAAATATATTGACGAACCAGGGACACAAATTAGCATATGAATTATGGAACATCAAAGGCTCTGAAGGAAAATTGATACTGAAAGATCAGACTAGAGAAAAATATCGCACAGACTGAACACGAAATCAATTGGAAGGCAACAGAAAGGAGGGCCCCATACGCTGAAAACACAAGGAAGTGTAAGATTAGGCCATTGACATCCTTGCGCGGAAAACCGAATGAGTAGGAGATTGTAGGAAAGTAGATTTAGCGATAATTTTGCTTACTGCCTACTTAGAGCAAGACCAGCAAAAAGGAGACGCCTGACTCAGGCATCTCTCGCTAACCGGAGGAAAAAGGATCGTAATGAGGAAAATAAGGGACGGGGAGATTCGGCAATTAGGCGAAGACATTGTCAGTGAGTGACGTCCGTTTCGAATAACTAGTACAACTTTGGGTGCTTGGCAGTCAGGGAACTAGGCGGACGGATAAGCAGTCACAGAAATTCGATGTTATGGCTAAAATATACTAGAAGTCCACTAAAGATTCAGCATGCGACCAGAGATAGGCGTCCATAGTTTTCTCAGGATACACGAGTTTAATGAAGGAGACGACCCGTGATGGTAATGCCTGATATTTGCAAACATGGGAATCAGAGCCTAGGCGCTCTGCCGTTGAGGCGGCAGTGTACGTGCTTCTAGGGCCTCGAGACTAAGTACAATGGGAGTGGAACCAAATAAAATCGGTCAACCAGAAAGATAAGGAACGAATCTACGGGACCATGAGGGGGATCCTGATTGGGGGCTTGAGTTGGAGTAGCTGATCGAAAAAGAGGGGGTTGGGGTGAATAACAGGTATGATGAGTACACACTAGATTTGTCACAAAAGGGCACACATTTTGATGAGTGGAATGTAAACAAGTGAGAATTTATGATAGGGCGGGATATTGATAAAAGGGTAAAGAGTAGATATATATGCCAGGACACAAAGAGGAGTGATAGTGTAACCGTTTTCGGCCGAACGTTAGAGGAACGATTGACATCACTTGTGTCTTTGACGAGTTCGTATCTTGGTATGGAGAATGGCAGCACTCACTGATGATGCCGACTTCGATGCAGGCGAAACTTTTGAGAATGTACCAAGTCCACTGTCTAATGCTGGGAATTATGATAACTACTATGGCAGAGAACTTCGGACTAGGTGCGTTCTACTAAGTCTCTCGGACAACAAGGCCAAGTTGTGACAACGAGATTGAGCCATATCTCATGCTTTAGTTTGTTATCCTATCCTTTGCCTGAATTTATGCTCAAAATTTCAGTTATGTAGCAGCGGATGACATGCGAATTGGTTGCAGATTATATATGAATCTGATGCTATTGTAATCGTATAGCTGCATCCTTCCCTAAAACGCTTATGCCTTTGAGTCTGCAATGTTACCGCATGTGATTGCATTCCATTGCACGCGTGCTGTGTCACTGCATTGGGCTTGAAATAAGTTTGATATAAAAGTCAAAACCAGATTCCAGCCTAATCAAGCTCCCTTCTCTTGCCTATGGTTAATTCTAGTTTTACCTTCTCTTTCTATCCCTATCCAACAGCCACAAGTATTTTCAACTTAACTTCCTACACTTATTCCTACCATTCGGGGTGTTAGCTGTTTTGTTGATTTTTATCGCCTTCCTATATGTAAATTGCATTGGAAGGTTGTTCATTATCATTATTGATCCTATAATAACTTCCTGCTCATAAAAATCTCCAAGTGTTGCTGTGGTGTGGATTGCAGGGCCTGTATGTCATCATCTACAGGAATGTTAGTGTATCTAGAATAACCATCAGCACTTACCAGGAAATTCCCACTTTCTCTCTCCTGTTCATCGAATGAGTTAACTAATTCATAAGAATTCTTAACTGAAACCGTCCATGTCTTGGAGACTTATTATAATTAGTTACAAATAAATTGTAATATTTTATGCATCTCGCTTCCTCTATTATTTACAATAATTTTGAATGTGACTTAATCTTTATGTATTTTGGGCAGACCATATGTATTCGGAGGCCTTGTGCGTTGCTGAAGAAACGTGTTCATCTTCCACATCTCCAGTTCCCCGTTTGTAATACAATGCTGCAAGCAGCCCCTGAGTCTATACTTAAGGGTTTCTGTATCGTCCATACTGATTACCTTGTATTTGGTAGTGTCATTCAAAGCCTGCATCATTTTTTTTATATAGATTAACCTATCTATAGCTACTAGTGCTCTTCCAATGTCTGCCTTCAACACCATTTGGTCCTCATCATTTAGTTTTCTTATGATGCTTTTAACTCTCTTATTCCTGAGCGTTATTTCTTGACTGTTATCAACTAAAGGAACGGCCTATAATTCGATATTACTCCAAGTCTCTTCTGGGAGATGGTCGGTAAAATCTATAAGTTCTACCAGTAGCTCCTCCCTATTATCCTTACCGTTAGGTAAATGAAATTTCAGACCTTTCAAGAGCACTTCCTCGGTGACACCGTCTAATCCTATCCTTCATATTGTCTCATATATACTTATTTTGAGTATCCATTGTCCAGATTCTTATACATAAATTCCTAAGGTACTTATCATGTCTAAATCTAACCTAATGAAAAAGTATATAATGTAAACTATCTGCCATTCTTTGAAATATAGAGAAAACTTTCCAGCTAAGGGTAGTCGACAATGGAGACTAATATTCCTGTAGACAATGATATAGAGGCCCTTTAATTCACACTAGTCCAACACACAGAGATTTTAATGAGAACGAAGATAAGTAAAGGGTCAATAAAGATACTGACTAACCTGTCGATGCACTCTAAATATTTTACCTTTAATGGTGAGCTGTGCCAACAAGCACGGGGTTCAGCTAAGGGATCGTGTTTGTCA